ACCTTTGCTAAGATACCATCAACCAAGAGAAAATGGAGAAGTCCAACTTCTAAGGCTAACAAGGGCAGGACAGTGAGCAGAGCAGGCAAACTCCCTGAACATTCTAGATTGCACCAGCCTTCCAGGGTCTGGGGCAGGCAGGGAGCAAATTCCTCTAATGATGGCATTTGAATTTCCCAACTTTTTGGCAACTGGCAGTTTGCAGTTACTTGATGGGTTGTGATAAGCCAAATATGGGGGGGGGGTAAAATTGTACCCACTACAACTGTGTACAGGAAAGCAAATGATGGCCATTATGAGTGGAATGAGTAGAGCCAAATGGACTTGTCCCACTTCTTTCTGCCATCCTTTCTTCCTCCTTGGTAAGCCCCCATGCTGGATTATTTTCAACATATACTACCTTTTTGGGGGAGGGGGATCCCAAAGGAGTTAAACAATGTCTGTGAGGGCCACTAGGGCCTATGGACAGACCAAAGAGATGGAAAGAAGGAAAAGGAGATGAGAGGAAAAAGAAAAGAAAGAATGTAACAGGAGAGAATGTGACAGTTCCCTAAAGCAACAGGACCCCCGTGTGTGCACAGACTAGATCCTCCAATATGCCACATGGTCTCAGGCCAAGCCAAAGGAAGTTCATGCTGTTTTTCCTTTTCCTGTTTTCTCTCTGTCTTTACACTTTCCCCATATTCAGTCAGCCCTTGATCCTCTAACACCTTCATGTGTCTCCAGATGACACATACTTCATTTATTAGTCTTGCCTCGTTTGGGAAGAGGCCACTAAGAAAGCCTCTGGTATTGAACTTTACACAGAGTTTCAAATTTGGCTCTGCCAACTCCTGTCAACATGTCTTGGGCACTAGTTCTTCAAGAGTCAGGAGCAGTGCCACATGCATAGCCAGGGTCAGTAAACTGTCCACTGGTCAGTCACCTCCTCATAGTGGTTTTGTGTTCAGTGCCCTGGGTGGTAGACATTGAGTGTTGGCCAGAAGGAAGGTTAGTGGGCATGGAAGAGAGGCTTCAGTTCAGACTTGCATCTGTGCGTCGTCTGGTATCTTTCTAGTCATTAGATCTCAGGTTTTACCAGGCCTCTGGATCGCCATGGGAAATGTGTTGAACACAGATTGCCGGACCCTATGCATAGATTTTATGATTCCGTGGGCCTGGGGTGGGTAGGGCAAATGGTCTCTGCAATGCAAACACTCAGGAACACGCTTTGAGGACCCCTGATCTAGTCCAGTGTCATATTGCGTCAAAGTGATTTTGAAGACCTGTTTTTATGGTTTCACTTTTCTTTTTTTTTTTTTTTAAAGATTTTTTTTTTAATATTTTATTCTTTTTTAAGATTTATTTATTTATACAAGCACTGGGTACAGTCAGAAGCGCAGGAGGGTGAGAGAATTCACCAGAGCCAGAGCGGGGAGCAGAGCAGGCAGAAGGACCGAAGTACACTGCTGAGGGGAGCAGCCGGTGGCAGGAGAGGTCTGCGTGCCATGTGGGACCCTCCTCCGGTGGCCGGGGAGCAGCCGGGGATCGAACCGGCGCCGCAGAGGCCGCGGGCAGCCTCGCAACCCAGCGCTCAACTGCTGCGCCACGGGGGAGGCCCTGCTTTCACTTTTCTGCTGAAAACTTTTCAGTGTAATTTGATATATTTGCTATATTCAGATATATTTTAAGGTGTTAACTGACAGTAAAACAGTTAAGCTTTCTTTGGACATCCTCTTCTGTTAAAGGGTCTCCCTGAAAATGTAAGAGGCCGGTAACAAGCCAATCTTTTGATTTTACAATGCAAGATCTCTAGCCTTCTGACCCTTGGTTCCATAAACTCAGCTCCAGGAGCACAGAATTCTCCAGGTATGCAAGAGATTGTCACGAGGAACATGCATCTATCTCTTCATGAGATAAGAAAAGTAGTCATTGTTGTTTTCCACTTTATAAATTTCTGTGCAATTCTGTCCAGACTTGCTACTGAATCCTACCTTTACATGTATGTAAATCCATAATATTTACTCACTAACAAATAGTCTGTGCTCTCCCCTCCCTTCAGATATCCATATGAAGTGGTTTTGCTGGCGGGATTGTTTTATTTCCCTAACACTACAGAACTACTTTTCTCCGGGACCCACCCTGACAGCTTGGCTGATGCAACTGTCTTCTCTCTCCCAGGAATTTGGGATCAGGACTGAGAGACACGGTCTGTAGAGAAAGAGGGAGAAAATGAGGCAGAATCACAGAGAAAAGCAGAGGTGCCGATCCTTGGGGTCTTTCCTTTGCAGTTCAGCTGCTCTTCCTGGCCCGAGAGCTACCCCTTGTCTGGCCTAAGTCCCCTTCTTCATTTCAGCAAATCAACCTTGCATTTCTGCTAATTGCAACCAAAATAATCTAAACTGAGATACTCCCCTCTGCCCTTATGATGAGGACCAGATTCCTGGAGAGGAAAATACAGCTCCCCATCAACTGGCGCCAGCTTCCTCCCATCTCTCATCTCAACATACTACCTGCTACTCTGTATTTTAGCCATATGAAACTACCTTTAACTCTTTCTGCTCTTCAGGCCTTGGGCATGATGCTGTGTCCTACCTGAGTATATATACATTTTCCTTTTGCTCGGCCATTCCCCGTTGGGCCTTCAGAGATCAGCATTGGTGTCACTTCCCCAGATACACAGCTTCTCCATATACTTTGGGGCACCTTGAACTCTTCCATCTTAGCTTCTACATAAGTGATCATGATTGCCTTATGATTTCCAAGATTGTGAACTCTGTGAGGCGAGAGACTGAAACTTGATTGTGGCTGTATCTTGGTGTGTAAGATAATACCCACTAAATACTTGTCAGATGAATGAATGATGTGCCTCAGTTACATCACTCACCTACCGCAGCAGCAGACTGCGATGCTGAATACAAAAAAAAAAAAAAAAAAAAAGAAAATTGCTATGGACTATGATTTAGAAAAACCCTGAGGTCAAGAATCCGATATTACCATGTTCTGGGAATATCCTATTACCTTCATTGTATATTCCTCTCCCCTTACTTAATAATTGTGCCAGAGTTTCTAATTAGAGGAAAGTCTCATGCATTTATTGATTCAAATGTGCTGCATCACTAGGGAGATTTGAGAATAAGTATAGAATTCAGCATATCAGAAATTCAATCCATTTGAGATCTCTCAAAGAGGTTTGCCCTTGGGTTGTTTAGCATAGTCTTTCATAATCACTGGAAACTGTTGTCATGGAAATCATGGAACCTTTCATGATTTTTGTATATGAGTTAATGAAGATACTGGAAACAGCCCAGAGGAATTCATACTTGGGTGTGCGTTTGTCTCCACATTAACCCAATGATTGTTTTGAACACACATCTGCCCCTTGGCAGATTCTCTTGGCTCTTGGTCCTGACAAGAATAAATAAACAACTGATTTCTATTTAGTATTTCTGCCTAGTAGGCTATGGATGGCTGCCCTTTAGTTTCATTTCAACAGGAAATCCCACATGGAGGGTTTAAAGGAGCAGAAGAAACAAAGAGTGGGTTATGAAGCAAGTCTTTATCTTTCATCCCAAATTACTAATTTTTCTATTCCAAGGCACCTAATTGAAAGCCTATGAGGAAGTTTCAGTTGGGAGACCACAGAGCATTCACTATATTTAAGACTTTTCCTTTATGGTCCTTTATAAATAAGTACTTTGTTGTTAATTATAATTAATAGTATCTCATAAATGAGATCTTATTTCAAAGGTCCCGCAAGTCTGTAAATTTAGATCCAGATATCTCAGTATGCTAACAGCATTTAAGTGAGATTTCTCATCTATGTCCTGTCTGCCAGTTATTTTCCAATATCCATTTTCCCTGCTTTCATAGTAACAGAGCTCATTAGCTTTAGCTAGGCATGTAGCTGCTTGATATCAAGACATTTTGCATTCTCCCTTACTCTGCTGATCAATGGCATTTAAATAGAAGTGGAATATTTGACTTTTTGGATTTATCTCTATATGTTCTTTTCCTCCCTTCCTACTGACTGGGATGTGGAAATGATGGGTGGAGCTGGGGCAGCCATTTTGGATAATGAATTTGGAGTCACTTAAGAAAAGCAGAATGACAAGACATAAGGACCCTGGTTCCCTGAAAATTGTGAAACCTTCATAAAAATCTGGTCTAACTGTTTACAGGAGAGAGAAAGAACATCAGTCTTGTTTAAACAACAGTTGCTTTGGATTTTCTGTCATTTAATCTTTTTTTTTAAAGATTTATTTATTTATTTATACAAGCACTGGGTACAGTCAGAAGCACAGGAGGGTGAGAGAATTCACCAGAGCCAGAGAGGAGAGCAGAACAGGCAGACTGGCGAGGTACACTGCTGAGGGGAGCAGCGGGCAGCAGGAGAGGTCTGCACGCCATGTTGGACCTTCACCTGGCAGCCGGGGATTGAACCGGCACTGCAGAGGCTGCGGGCAGCTTTGCAACCCAGCGCTTAACCGCTTCGCCACCGGGCAGGCCCTGTCATTTAATCTTAACTGATAAACTACCTGAAGTCAAAACTTACTTTTCTTCTTTCCACTGACTGAGTGTGAAACCTCCTGGGCTTTTTTTGGTGAAATTTACCTTCTGATCCCAGGTTATGCTAGGAGACTGGCAGTCATTGCATTAGCCACACTGAATTTTCTGATATGAGGAGTTGAGACAGCATTTCAACGGTAGAAAAATACCTACTTACCATCTTAACCAAAGAAACATAGTGTTGCCTGGTTTTCATATATGTATTATGAAATTTTCTAATATCTTTTACCTTATAATCAGGACTCCTGTATCAAAGGCTTTTTGAAATGAGATGAATGATAAATAAGACTCATGACTATTTAGTCTGAGTGCAAAGTAGTTAAGACCAAAACACACACACACACAAACCAAAAACCAAAAACCCAACACCTTCCAAAATATCTGAAACAAGTCTTCCACCTGGGAGACACGAGCCTTCTAGGAGAGGGGATCGAAATTGCAATTTTACTTACTGAACTTCGGCCTTTTACTCTTCTTTGTCATTTCCTTGTTTGAATGTACTCCAGTCACCAGCAAAACTGCATGAAGAAAATTTAAAAAATCTAATCAACATTATTTCACTAAATTCTTTTGAGCCTTATATTTCAAGCACACATTAACATATTCTCATCTGTGGAACTCATTTCCTCTAATATTAAGTTTGGGGAAATACTAGGTCCTTGTGTGGTTTCCTTAGCGTCTACTTTCAGGGCCTTTCCAAATCACTTTTTGGATCCCCGTCCTCTGTTTCACACTTCTCAAATGTCATCTCACCAACCCTGACATCTCTATTTCCAAGGAAGGAATGTAGACCTGGGAAAACCCACTGAATTGCTTGGTCCCAGGAATAAATGACAGGTAGCCTGAGACGCATGCCCTTCTCCTGCTCGTCCCTCTGTGTCACACTAAATATCCAGTAGCCAATTTCTGATGACCAGGGAAATGCAGGTGTGTCTGTGTGTATGAGTGTGCACATGTGTGTGCATCTGAGTGTGATAGAGCGAGGGTTGAAAGGAAGAGATATGGAAAAATCTCAGAGAGGGGTGTCTGGGGAAGAAAGACAAGGAGAAAGGAAGCTGGGAAGAAGAGAGACTTGTCACGACGTGTGAGGGGTGATCCGAGGGTCTGCTCTAGCAGCACGTGGTTCTGCTCATTGAGGAGGCCAGCTGCAGCCAATGGCGCCTCCTCCTCAGAAACAGGAGCAGAACTTCCAACAGCATTTGGTTATTGCAAGTACACCAACAGGGGGCAGAAAGGAGCTCTATTCTTTTTAATTTAAAGTCACATTACTGTTTGAGTCTTGAGTTTTTAAAAACACTGGTTGAAGTGATAAATGTTCCTAGTAGAAAACACAAAAGTACAAGAAATTTGAATGAACACAAAAGAATATTTTCAGTCTTTTTCTATATGATACATATATTCATATAGATGCTTTTACTCAAACATTTGGTGTTCTCATACTGCTTATAACGTTTGTTTCATAATTTATTTCTACATAATCATATATGCAAACATTTTTCATTGTTATTAAATGTTCCTCATAATAATTTTAACTGTCTGTAAAGTATTGCACTGTACAGATATATCATAATTTAGGTAATTCCCAACTGAATACAAATAGTTTCATCTTTGTATCGATCCATCATTTTCTTAAAATACATTTCCAAATAGAATTTTTGTCAGAAAGGTATGCCCACTTAAAATATATATCCTTTATGTATATAAATACATATTATTATATATAAAATATATTAAAATATCACAAAAATTTTCCATAGCTTTTTTTTTATTAGCAACGTCTGATAAAGCTCACATCTCTGCAACTACACTAATTCTACTTTAGACAGAAAAGCAGTTTTTGTTTCAAATATCTTGTCAATTCTTTATCCTTCCTCTCTAGGATATTTTCCACTAACAAATGGTGACACACTTTGGTTTATCTTTATCTTAGTCACTTTTCTAAGAAACCCCCTTTCTGGATGTGAACATGAGACAATAAAACAACTAGAATAGACATTTTGCTCCCCAGTTTATGTGTTCGTTTATTAACAGAACAAAGTGCTTCATTTAGTCATTAATGGATTTAGGAATTCTTGAATAAGCAACTGTCTTTGAAGGAAAAAGTGGCAATGTTGTTACGTGTAAAGAAAACTTCAAACTATGATTAGCTAATCTGTGCCAACAATGCAGCTATTGAATGATCTTCAGTTTTGACTATTAGCATTAGTTGAGGCCTGGATCATTGATACCATGTCCTGCAAGAAAAGAAACATAAAAGAAAAGCGAAAGTGAGGACAGGACCATAAGTCTAGCCAGGTAGAATGAGGCAGACTGATTTTAGGTGTTATTTACTTCTGGGGTTTGAGTGGGTGCAACTGTCCCGGAGGTCTAATTTCTATAGCAATCCGTGTCATAAACTTTGTGCAAAGACCACATCTTTATTTTAGAGACAAAAATAAATAACTAGAATTCTAGAATACTTTGAAAAATCAAGTACAACATAAATATATAGAAAAAATTACCTTATGTAGAGGGGGAAGTTAAATAATAATAAATTGGGTATCAATTCTTATGGAAACTAAATACTGTTCTTGGCCTGTGTTCTGTGGCAAGTGGTTTGTAAGTCTTAGTACCATTAGGATTATAAATATTTCGGTAAGACCACCCCATCACTCACATTTGCTCACTCAAGACCCTCCAGGTGGAAAACACACAGAGCTGGGCTCAGTTTTACAGCAGTGGTTAATAAAGTCATCATCTTTAATGGATACAGAGGCTCTCCCTGGCTTAGATGCTTGTTAATTAAAGCTCCCCAGAAACCACTCCCAAAGAGAAGGGCTGTCAATAAGCCTTCACGTGTGCTCATGCCCAGGAGCAGGCCCTCATTCCTCAACAGCAAGACCTCTCTTACTATATTGGAAATGGTGAATTGCTCCTGGAGCTTGAGCGAGACAGAAAATCAGACTTGTGTGCTTTTCCTTAGGAAGTCAGGCAGATCCCAGAGATGGAGGATTGATGCTCACTTCAAAATAAAAAATACAAAATACATCAAAGTACACAGCTCTCCTGCCCACCTGCAACTCTGCAGGTGTCTCTTTTTCCCTCCTTTTCCTAATAAACCTGTCCTTCTAAAAATGTAAAAACAAAACAAACAAACAAAGTGAAATATAGATCTGAAAGTCAGTCTCTTCTGTGGGAATAGTTAGGTATCTGGCTACTGCGGCCACTGGGTCTAGAAGCTTTGAGGAATTGTCTACAACCCAAAGTTCCAAGGCAATCACAATTTACCAACTCTGTAGCAACTCACTCAATCAAAAAAAAAAAAAAATTCAATCTTCAAGTTTTGGAAGGCATCTATGCTCACTGCTTTACCACCAACACACGCTCAAGATTTGTAGTTGAAAATTTCTTACTTTTCACTAGGAGTGGTTGAAATTTTCAAACAAATCAAGTGCTTAAGTGACTAAAAGTTTCCTCCAGTTTCTCTCCAGTACATTTAAGAGAAGTGAAGCGTAAAGGTTTTAAAATCCAATAAATAAAAAAATTACAAGCATAGAAAATACAAATGAATAAACTTGAAACAATGTTCAACCTTATTAAAAAAATGCATGCTAAAACAGTGATGTAAATGTACAGTGATGTAAAAAATAAAAATTTTAAAAAACGCAAGCTTAAACAAAATGATGGGGTATTTTTCCATGTCATGTCTGTAAATATTGAACACAATTTATCTTGGCGTGAATATGGGGTTAGGGCATTCCAGTATATTATTGGGAGAGTCTAGTTAGGTGGAATCATTCTGGAAAGTCATTTGATAATATATATCAATAGTCTGAAAAATACTAGTAACCTTGTCCAGAAAACATACCCTTAAGAATACATCCCTAGTTATAATTAGAAATATAGGCAAAGATTTATGTAAAAAATGTTACATTATAGCATTATGTCAAAAGGCAATCTGGAAATAATGAAATCTTGAAAGTGTCCCCAAAATGGGGAATCTTACTCATTTATTACAAACGATGTACACAAGGTGACCTGAGAAGTACTCAGTTTTAACCTTAAAAATGATTTTGAGGGGCCTCCCTGGTGGCGCAAGGGGTTAAGCACCACACTATGAAGCAATCCGCAGCCTCTGCAACACGAGTTTGATCCCCGGCTGGCCAGGGAGCAACCCACATGGCACAGTAGACCTCTCCTGTCTCTCCCGCTGCTCCCCTCAGTAGTGTATTTCAGTCAGTCTGCCTGTTCTGTTCCCCGCTCTGTCTCTGGTGAATCCTCTCATCCCCCCATCTCTGGCCTGTACCCCAGCTTTATGTATGCATAAATAAATAAATCTTTAAAAAAAGAATGATTTTGATGAAATTAGAACATATGCAGAGAAAAATAACTGAAATAAATACACCAAAATATTAATAATAGTAGGGTTATAATTCCTATCCTATATTTTCTGTATAGTTTCCATCTATAATATATTCCTTATATATATTATATAGAATAGGTTTCATTGACAACTGGAAAAAGATATCATAACTATTTTTAAATTTTGTCATATTGTAACCCTATGGACTAACAATAATGAAACGTGCTTTCTTACATCATTGACATGGTGATTATGTGCTTGTGTTCCCGTCTTCCTATCAGGAATGAATTAAAATTATAGTCCAGTTACTTTCAAGAAAAGACATAGTCTAGACCACCTAATCAGTTGCCAAATCAGTAAATACTTACGGACACTTAGAGAGGTATAGGTTTGGGGCAGGGAGGCTGCCACCAACTTAATACGGGTGGGAAGGGCCAGAGCAGAACGGCCATTTGGTGAGCCTTTAAAAGGGAGCAAGCACCCGGCTCTGGCTCTGGTGAATTCTCTCACCCTCCCGTGCTTCTGACTGTACCCAGTGCATGTATAAACGAAACAAACGAACAAACAAACAAATAAATAAATAAAACATGCCTCTATAAAAAAAGAAAAAAAAAAAAAAATTAAAAGGGAGCAAGCAGGTGGGCTCGCTCACATTGTTGTGGGAGCTGCTGTGGATGGCAGCTGGCTGGGTGCATGGGGGTTCTTAGCCCTCAAGGGTGGGGGAGACATAACCTCAGCATAGCCTGTGCCCTGATGGCTCTCATAGCTGCATCTCTACTTTGTATCATCAGTCTTATCAGTTGGTAACTGACTTTAGAATTTGCCCTTATTTGGAAATAAGGTCATTGCAGGTATCATTAAGTTAGGACATAGCCATACTGGAGTAGGTTCGGCCCTAAGCAAATATGATTAGTGTCATTATAAAAAGGGGGATGGAGCAAACATGCTTGCAGGAAGAACACCCTGTGGCAATAAAGGAAGAGATTGGGGTGATGCCAGGAATGCCGAAGACTGCCAGCAAATCACTAGGAGTTAGGAGAGAGGCGTGGAACAGCCCTCTGAGGGAACCGACACTATTGACACTTTGATTTTGGATTCCTAGTCTCAAAATTGTGAGAGAATAAAATCTGTTGTTCTAAACCACCAGTTTGTGGTGTTTTGTTACAATAACTCTAGTAAACAAATACAGCTGAGGGTCTTCCCACCCTCCCCTGGCAAAAGTTTCAGAGTGACCCCATGGTCATAACTGATGAGGCCACGGCACAATGTGGTCAAGATTAACAGAAGTAGATACTCAGTGGACTCTACTACTCAGCAATTAATATAGATGAAACAGTGCCTTTGAGACAAAGTGGATGGATCTTGAGATTATGTTAGTGAAATAAGAAAGTGAAAGAGAGATACTGGATGGTTTCACTTATTTGTGCAATATAAATACCAAAGAGCACACACTGGCAAAGCACAGCAAGAACACGCAGACTCTATGACGTATGTATTGTTTATCTGAGGGATGAGAGGGGAGAGGACCGAGGAGGAGAGGTCATTGACACAGGAGGTTTGGTGGAGGGAGAGTGAAGCATATACATATATGGAGGTGTGAAATGTACCCCAATGTTACATAGATATGTAAATGACTGGTAACTTGATAATTATAAACATTAACATGTGACTACCCTTGGGTTTTAGTGCTAAACCCATCATCACTTTTCCCTGTTCTAAGAGACATACTACTTCCTGGGGGCTTATCCAAAATTGTGTTCTTTGGTGTTCATGCACAAGGCCAAGTCGGTGACACTTGAAGAAATTTTTTGAAAAATGAAGAAATAAGAAGATTCCTAAATTCAGAATGTGTTAATATGCCCTATCTAAAATATTTTCTAGTTGCTGAAGAATACACAATATAAAAACATGTATAAATATATATGTGAAATACAGTCACGTGTGTAATATGTATATTTGCTTCATATGAATATGTATACGCATATATTCTAAATTTGATCTATACTTATCAGTCTTACTTAGACTTCTTTCCAAAATGTTTATCATGAAAAAGATGCCCTGTACTCTTTATATACTCTATCTTGGTTTAAATCTTTTCTTGGCAAAATTCTTTGGACCTTAGGAGAATGTTAAAAGTGTATCCAGATACTCATATAAAAGTACTTACCAAGGAACATTTCAATAACAGATGCCTTCATAGTGAGGACAACAATCCCCATAAATTTCAAAATGGCACCCTGGAGAGGAAGAAACAATAACATCATCATAGTTCAGCCAAGAGTTCTGAATTGTGCATGGCGTGTGGGGAGGGGTTGCTTCATTTTGCATCACTCTCTGGAGTCTTCCGACTCCAAGCTGAGCTTTCTCTAAGCAGTTCATGGAGATGGCAGCAGCCAGCTGAACAGGGACCCGGAGGCTCTTCTCAGTAAGAAGCTCATTCTAACCCTAGCCTCCTTCTGAGGCTGGTCTTAGAACTAAAGGAGAAATAACTCCACAATTTCAAGGACATATTCAGTCAGTCTTCAAATTAGAACAAAAGCTACACTTATGGTTTCTAGAAACATCTTTAGATCACAATTTCATTTATCATTCAGTCAGTCAATATTAAACTTTTATATGGCTATGCTTTGCTAGGAAGGAGGTGGTAAAAATTGAATTAAAAACACTTACTGCACTTAAAAGAGTTATAGTTTAACAGAAGGATGAAAACATACAGAGACACTAATGATGAACACAAAATAGGTGCATCTTGAGGAGACTATGTAAAGTGAAAGACAGACGCTGGATGGATTCACGTGTTTGTGGAATATAAATAGCCGAAGAGCACATAGTAGCAAAGCACAGCAAAAATAATTGTTAGACTCTGTAAAGAACATACTGTTTACCAGAGGAACTGGGGGGAGGGAGGAGGTCCCACAAAGAAGTATAACGAAAATTTATAGAGCAGTGGTTGTCAAACGTTGCTAAGTATTAGTATCATCTGGAAGTTTTTAATTGTTTTGAAAGGCCCTGATGCTTAGGCTATGTCTCAGACCAATTGAGTCAGACAATCTTGGGGGTGGGGTCTAGGTGTGAAGTTTTAAAAAATCTCCCAGGTTATTCCAATGTACAAGTAAGTTTGAGAACCAGCAATTTAGAGCAAGGCTTCCTAAATCTAAATGTACCGAGGATTAAAATTGTAAACATAAGGAAAAATTTTCTGGAGAATCCCACCCCCAGTCTGGTGGGCAAAGGAGAAACCATCTCCATGGGCTGCATCTTGCATCAGGACTTGCTGCCCCGTGTGATTTCAGAGTTTGATTGGGCATCTTTCCCCTACTTCTCTCTCTAGGCTTCTTGAACTGTCCATGGATGGCCAAACCGGCATTGTTTTGGTTCCCTGACTGGGAAATAAATGAGCCTTCTGGAAACAGATCTTGTTAAAATGCAGGTTCTAATCCAGTAGATCTGAGGCAGTACCAGGGATTCCCAAAGAAACCAGGGAGTGAGAGGCAGCCCTGTGGAGCTGGCAGCGCTGAGCACACTTGGGAAGAGTCTGACTGTTCAGAAATAAGGGAGAAGGAGTTCCTGCTGTGGAAATAGTGTCAGCACAGGCTCAGAGACTGGAAAACACATAAATATGAAGATGGTGTTGATCTATACGGGATTTCCTGCCTCCCATTAAGGCCATGAGAGCTATAAAAAAAAAAAAAAAGATGAAATCCTACCATTTGCAACAACATGGGTGGAGCTGGAAGGTATTATGCTCAGTGAAATAAGTCAGAGGGAGAAAGACAAACACCATATGTAGTGTAGAAAGAAAACAAACAAGATGAACTAAATACAACCAAAATAAACTTTCATACTCTAGGACCAACTCGTGGTTACCAGAAGGGAAGGCAAAGGGTGGCTGTGGGTAAATTGGGCAAAGGTACAAGTGTATGGTAAAGGAGAGAATTGGACTTTTCGTAGTGAACTGAATGCAATACATATATCTTGATTTTTTGATGATGCGCACCTGAAACTTACATAATATACAATGCATGTTGCTGAAAATTTTTTGTTTTATTTATTTATTTTAAAGATTTATTTATTTATACATACAAGAGCTGGGGTACAGGCCAGAGATACACCGGAGGGTGAGAGGATTCACCAGAGACACAGTGGCGAACAGAACAGGCAGATTGACTGAAATACACTGCTGAGGGGAGCAGCGGGCGAGTCAGGAGAGGATTGCTACGCCATGTGGGTTGCTTCCTGCCTGGCCAGGGATTGAACTCGTGTTGAAGAGACTGTGGACCGCCCCCCAGTGTAGTGCTTAACCCCTTGTACCACCAGGGAGACCCTAATTTGTGTTTTAAAACAAACTTTCCAGCACTGCAAAACCCCCACAAGCCTATGGGGAAACTCTCATGGTGTAGACATATGACCATTAATTGAACATATATGGTGTGCTCTGCGTTGTCTTGAATACTCAGTCAGCCAGGGGGGTAGAATTTATGATGCCCTTTGAACAGATGAGCAAACTAAAGCTTAGAAGATGAAATGTCACACTCCTGGTGACCAGGGGGTAGAGAATTAGAATGGAGTTGGGAGTAGATGGGAAGATTCTGCCCTGGGCAAGGCAGTAAGGGAGAACCCTGTAAAGAATTTAGAGTTCTGCTTTTTATTATGCTTGTAAACTATAATTCTAAACAATGCCAGTGATAAGCCTCCTCCCGCAGGGCACTCACTCTACATTTCCTCCCCCATGCCTCCTCTGTGGTGTGGCCTAAAACTGGCCATCAGAACCCTCCACTCTTCTATCCCAGGGAGGGGTATCCTGGCAAACATGCTCCCTGAAAGAAAAGTCCTGCTTTGGAGTGTTTGTTGATTTCTGTGGTATTAATTCCTCCTACCATGGCTGATTTTGAAGTCACTAAAGTGATCAACACAATCTGGTAATAGCTAGGTCCTGTGCGAGCTTTAGCTAATATTTAGCAACAGGGCTATGCAGTTTATTAACAAAAAGCAATTATTAGTTTATGATTGAGGTAGTAATACAAGTATCTGATGAATTAAATAAAACTGTTTATAACACAAAAGGTTTTATGACCAACAAATAAGGCAGAGAAAGTAATCCCAAACAGAGCTGATCACTTAAAGAATTTCCAGAAGCAATTGTAATGTGTTAAGTTTCCTAATTAAGGTAGCTGACCACTGGTGAAATAGTAGGCAAATAATGGTTTTTAGTCTTATAACAGAAATAAAGTAATCATAAAGTCTATTTGGCAATTCGATGCTTAAATAACTGAGTCTTACTTTGGATATGGTGTGATAATGAGTACTTGTTTTTCTTTTGTCTTTTATTAATTTGAGACTCTTAAGAACAACTTACATATTTCAGGTGTGAATAGGTACTTTTCCTGTGGGGTAAATGCAATATGTCAAGTTGCCCTTTTGGACCTACCCAACCAGCCCCACCAATTGGCTATCACCAATTCAGCTTGCAAATTTCATCTGTGAGTCATCCTTGATAGTCCTCTTCTTCATTATATCCCACACCTTATCCACCAGCCAAGCCTGTTAACTCCAAATACATCATATATCCAGAATATAATCTCTCATTATCCTCACCATCACCGCCTTGTACAGACAATGCCCTCTTTCACCTGGTTTATTGCAGTTGGTCTCCCCTAACTAGTCTGTCTCCTTCCCCTCTGTTTAATCAGCAGTTACTGCCCAAATAATCAGTTCATACTATTCCTCTGTTCAAAACTGCTCCTCACTCTACCCAGAAAAAAAAGCCAATAGCTATACAATTGATTCAAACCCTATTTGACCTGGCCCCTTTATTCATCCCCACCTCATTTCCCACTATCTCCCTGTAGGGTAAAGAAAATATCAGGCTTTTCTGCCCTTCTGCCATCAGGATAGATGATGGATCCTTGTCCTGAATGCATGCCTGATGGCGGGCACCTGGAATAGGGTGTGGGCATAGGTAGATGGGATTCAGCTGAGCTAAGACTGTGCTTTTTTTTTAAGGGCGGCATCACAGGGACGCCAGAAGCTGAGAAAGCAGCAGTAGAAGCCGAAGCCGAAGCCGAAAGAGAAGCCGAGAAGCAGCAGAAAGAACTCCAGAGAGCTCAGATAGAGTGAAGACTTGCCTGCCAGCCTCCCAGCCCCTCAGCCAGCACCCCTGCCTGCCATATGCCTGGTGAACCCCAATAAAAAACCTGCAAAACCACTGAGGACTCTGACTTCTCCTTTACCCAGTCTGCATGGGATCAGAAAACCTGAACTGTGGTCATTCCTGCCTTTACACTCCCCTTGCTCACTAAGCTCAGGCATACTATCTTCCTGGCTGTTCTAGAACATACCTCTTGCCTCACCATCTCTGCAGTTCAACTGTTTCCTCTATCTTGACACCCTGCCCTCAAATAAGAACATGATTTGCTCTCTTGTTTCTTTCAAGTCTTTCATTAAATGTTATCTTCTCTTGAGACATTTCTTTTTTTTTTTATAGAGGCATGTTTTTATTTATTTATTATATTTGTTTGTTTGTTTTGTTTATACATGCACTGGGTACAGTCAGAAGCGCGGGAGGGTGAGAGAATTCACCAGAGCCAGAGTGGGGAGCAGAGCAGGCAGAAGGACTGAAGTACACTGCTGAGGGGAGCAGCGGGCGGTAGGAGAGGTCTGCGCGCCATGTGGGATCCTCCTCCGGTGGCCGGGGAGCAGCCGGGGATCGAACCGTCACCGCAGAGGCCGCGGGCAGCTTCGCAACCCAGCGCTCAACCGCTGCGCCACCGGGGAGGCCCTCTTGAGACATTTCTTAACCATCCAACTTAAAATGCCAATCTCTTTGTCACTCACCACAACTAACTGGGGTACCCCAGACTTCCGCTACTCTATTTTCCCATGTCACCTCTGGTATACTCTATATTAGTTTTCCTATCTTGTTTGTGTTTTCCACTAGAATGCAAGCTTTGTGTGGACAGGGTTTTTATTTGATCTTCTATGTGCTCAATAAATATATGGTGAATCAAGAAATGAAGAAAGACTCTCCCACGGGACTAAAAAAGGGAAACAAAGGGCAGACAATCATGCAAAGATGCTAAAAACTTCAAAATTGCACATTTTCAATGGTGTATTTTATGGTATGTATCTCAGTAGGACATGATGGACCTGACCTTTCCATGCTGAGATGGATGGATACAAAACAACAGGATTCCAGGAAACCATCTAAGCCCAGAGGAGCTATCACTCAGGTGCTGACTCATCAGTAATGGAACCCGACCAGAATCAGAATCACTCTGGTTTCTTGGAATCAAAATATTTTGCAGCTAATTTCTTACCACTTCAATTTCTCTCTTTGCTCAGTCCATTTATTTATACACTTAAAATGTAAATGTACCTTTTGAAATATGTGCAAAAGAGTTTTAAACCTCTCTCAATCCTTCTAGAGGCTGGGGATGAGCTCTGTTCAGCAGTGTCTGCAGGTGGTCAATGTCATTGAGCTGTGGGGTGCAAGGTAATGGAGGAGCATAATTACTTGTGCTCACCAGGGTTTTCACATAAAAGGAACAATGGGAATTTCCAAAGGGATGTGTTACTGATTCATAAAATGATGGGCTGTGCTGAGATATGTAATATAAAGGGTCCTGAATATAAAGTTCTGATGAGATGAAGAAAGCCTCATTGTAAAATAAAAATGTACATTAATAAAAGTTGCCAGCCAATTTAATTAGCTCTCTTGTTGCCTGGAGTTAGAATCAGGAAGTTGGTAATAATAATATCACATTATATTTATATGGGCTTCACAGTTTTTTCCTCCAATTTTTGTGGTAAAATATACCCACATAAAATTTACTATCTTAATCATTTTTTAAGTGTACAGTTGAGTGGCACTAAAGGTACTTGTAATATGGTATCATCACCACCATCTCTCCAGAACTTCTTTTGCCTTGTAAAACTGAAACTGCATGCCCATTAAATAAAACTCCTCATTCTCTCCTTCCCTCCAGCCCCTGACAACTCCCGTTCTGCTTTCTGTTTCTATAGTTTTGACTACTCTAAGCACATCATTTAAGTGGAATCATGCAATATTTTTCCTCCTGTGATTGACTAATTTCAAAGAGCTTAATGTTCTGAAATTTCATCCATATTGTAGGAAATGGCAGAATTTCTTTCCTTAATAAGACTAAGTAACATTCTACTATATCTACATACCATATTTTGCTTATCCTCTGATTTGCTGGTGGACACATAATTGGCTTCCACAACATGGAAGCAAAAGTTTCTCTGTGAGACAGCTTTCAATTCTTTTGTGTGTATACCCAGAAATAGAGTTTCTGGATCAGATGGCAATTCTACTTTTAATTTTTTCAGGAACCTCCACACTGCTTGGCAGATGACGGAACCTAGTTGCTCCGCATCCTTGTCAGCACTTGCTATTTTCTGTAATGGATAGCAGTCAGCCTAATGGGTGTGAGGTGACAGCTCATTGCAGTTTTGACTTGCATTTTTCTAATTAATGACATTGGACATCTTTTCATGTATTTGTTGGCCATTTGTATATCTTCTTTAGAGAAATGTCAGTTCAAGTCCTTGGCCCACTTTTTAATTAGGCTTTTATTTTTATTTTTTTAAGATTTGTTTGTTTGTTTGTTTATATATTTATACAAGCACTGGGTACAGTCAGAAGCGCGGGAGGGTGAGAGAATTCACCAGAGCCAGAGTGGGGAGCAGAGCAGGCAGAAGGACCAAAGTACACTGCTGAGGAGAGCAGTGGGCGGCAGGAGAGGTCTGCGCGCCATGTGGGACCCTCCTCCAGTGGCCGGGGTGCAGCTGGGGATTGAACCGGTGCTGCAGAGGCTGCGGGCAGCTTTGCAACCCAGCGCTCAACCACTGCGCCACCAGGGAGGCCCTAAGTAGGCTTTTTTGTTGTTGAATTTTAGGAGGTTTTTTTTAAAAAATATATTCTGGATGTTAATCTCATATAAGATATATGATTTGTAAATATTTTCTCCCATCTTATGGGTTGCCTTTTACTCTGTTGATAGTGTCCTTTAATACACAAAATTTAAAAATTTTCATGATTTCCAAATTGTCTATTTTTTCTTTTGTTATCTATACATAGAGAGCCAAAGTCATAATCAAGAAACCATTGCCTAATTCTGTATTTTTTTGAAGAATTTTAAAGTTTTAGGTCTTACATTTGTGTCTTTGATCCATTTAAGTTAATTTTTGCATAGGTGTTAGGTAAACATCTAGTTTTGTTCTTTAGTATGTGGATGTACTTTTCCCAGCACCATTTGTTGGAAATATTGTCTTTTTCCCATTAAATGGTATTGGTACCCTTGTTAAAAATCATTTGCCCATATATATGGAGATTTATTTCCAGACTTTTTATTCTGTTCCATGGGTGTATGGAATACACTGTTTCTATGCCAGTGGCAGACTATTATTAACTTGGTAGTAAATTTGGAGATCAGGGACTGTGAGTCCTGCCATTCCGTTTTCTCTCAAGATTGTTTTGGCTCTTCTGGGTCTCTTGAGATTTTGAACGGGCTTTTCTATTTCTGCAAAAACTGTCATTGGGATTTTGATAGGTATTGCATTCAATCTTTAAACTGCTTTGGCTAATACTGATATTGTAACAATATTGACTTCCAATTCACAAGCATGGAACATGTTTCTGTTTATGCCCTCTTTCTTTCAGCAGAGTTTTCATTATACCAGCCTTTTACCTCCTTGGTTAATTTAATCCCTAAATATTTTATTCTTTGTGATGCTATTGTAAGTGGAATCACTCTCCCAATTTCCTTTATAGACTGGAATCGAATGTATAGAAATGCAACTGATCTTTGTGTGTTGACTTGCTACTTGCTAAATTTATTTATTTGTTCTAATGTTTTCTGTATATGTGTGGAATATTTAGGATTTTGTAATATAAGACCATATCACCTGTAAAGAGAAACACTGTTATATATTTTTTTTTAGTGTGGTTGCCTTCTCTCTCTTTCTCTCTCTCCCCCCCAGCCCTAATTCTTTTGGTTAGAACTTGCAGTACTATGTTAAAGAGACGTGGACAAAGCAGGTGGGCATTCTTGCCTCCTTATTGATCTTAGAGGAAAACCTTCCAGTCTTTCACCATTAAGTGTAATTGTGCTGTGGGTTTTTCACATGACTCTTATTATGTTGAGATAGTCCCTTGCATTCCTAGTTTAGTTTGTTTTGTTTTGTTTTTTGTCATGAAAGGGATTTTGTCAAATGCTTTTTCAGCATCGATTGAGATGTTCGTGTGTGTGTGTGTGTGTGTGTGTGTGTTTGTGTGTTTGCAATGAGCAAAGCTCAGCCCTATCAGGGGCTTCTGGACCCTCGCGTACAGGAGCAAGGCCGTCTACAGACAGTGATGGTCCCTCAGCGGCTGCTGCAGCAGAGTAAGGCAGCTTTCAGAGGAGCCTTGCCCCCAGCCTTGCTGGGGCCCCCCCAGGCTGCCAGGGCAGGTGAGAGGTCTGCAATTTGAGTAAACTTAGGGCTGTTTGAGCCTTTGTGGTTCCGAAGTAAGACTGTGCTGCTTAGGACTCCTCTGTTTGCCCTCTCTGGGCCTGTTTCACAGAGCCCTCTTATTTTTGCAGTTAATGTTAAAAACCTATCTCTTAGCAAAATGGGGCTGCTAACCCAGCTGGTCCAGAGTCCTTGCGCCCACGTGCAACCTGGGCGAAAACCACAGGTGCGCCCTTTTGCCAATTAGCCCCTGGCGCAAGAAATGCACCCAGGAGGCCCTGTGCGAGGCGAGGGCTGCCTCCCTTGCCTTCTTGGCCCCACTCGGGCTCGGCCACCTGAGGGACAACCGGGGTGCTCCGGGGCGGTGAGGAATGCCAGCACGACTCACTCACGCCACAGGGGCACAGGATGCAGCCAGGCGGCCCTGCCCCCTGCACCTGAGTCAGGACAAACCATCCCCTTCTCTCACCTCCCCTTCTGTGAAGGGGAGAGCAGGAGAGGAGGGCCAGGTTGGATTCTGGACCCCACACTCCTGCCAGAGAGCCCCGAGGAGAGGCCAGACGCCAGGCAGAGCCGAGGAGCCGCCCGTGGTGACGGTGAATGTCCATCTTCAAGCAGCTTGGGCCGCGCCTCGGGGAGCCGTGTGACCGCGTCAGCAGGTACCCCTCCTTCATTCCATCACGGCGCTGCGTTACATGAATTGATTTGGGTATGTTCAAGCATCCTTG